TTGGAAAGGTATATAAGTATATTAGTAAATTAGAAACGAGAAGCGAAACAGCAAAGCAAGAACCTACCTGGCGAACTTTTCGTTATTCAGATGAGAATCCAGAACAGTGGATACAACAGAGCCTGCGTCACCTGGTGGAGACGCATATCGATCAGGGAACTTGAGTTTTCATCATTTCGATAATTTACGCCACCACCAGGAGACACAGAAAACTCAGAAATTAGTTGCTTAGAAAATATTGAGCATAGTGAAAACCCGAACTGTGAGAAAATCCGGAAAAAGAAAGAAGAGATCTAAATCAATGAAATTCTCAGCATCGGTTAGATAACGGTCAGTTATCATCATTCTGACGACGCAGAATAAATATATAGAACATACGACAACATTAATGAAGGAACAAGTGAGCAGTGTAGATACGAATAAGAGCATCGAAATTGTGAGGTGAAGTAAAACTCACGATCAAGAATTATCAGCAACACAGCATGGTTATCAAGTTCTGTGGATGCCAGAAAAATCAAAGACTTCGCGTGTTCGTGTATCCAATCATCCTAATAGCTATTGGAGATTAATAAAATAGAAAGGGAAAAGCAGATAAAATCGATTAAATATATAATAATAAAAACTTACCGGAAACTGATCAAACACGAAGCACAACATAAAGAAGGGAAATTATACCGCAAAGGGAACTGCCAAACGTGAGTAAACAGCAAACGGTCTGTTGCCAACTCGGATCTCACAACAGGCGACTGAAGTCCAATAACGCAACACTTTGATTGTATGTCGAAGCAACGCTGGTAGGATGCCACCAAAAGAATAGCAACTACTCTCTTTCCTACTTAATTCCCACCCAAACGCTTTGCAACGCTGGTAGGACGCCACCAAAAAAACAGCAACTACTCTCTTTTCCACTTAATTCCCACCCAAATGCTTTACAACGCCGGTAAGACGCCACCAAAAGAACAGCAACTACTCTCTTTTCCACTTAATTCCCATCCAAAAAAAGACCAATAATAAAAATAAAAAAACAAACTCATCCTTTAAGCATGCCAGAATGAACTGCAAATCAACTGACTACAAAAGGCGTAAGGTTGGAAATGTGACCTCAGCAAACACACAGAGAAGTAGGTGAGCAGAACGAAAGGGTCCCTGACAAGTTCAGTAAAGAACTCTGACTCCACGCCAAATCAGTGTCTTTGACACTCTTAAGAATGCTATTAATCTCAATTAAAACAAGAGCCGATAGCAATAACTAAGCTCTCTAAATTGCGCTGACTATATGGTGTAAAATGGAAATGGTCTTGAACAATTTGACTATAAGAACTATTATAATAATAATAAAACATTTTTTTGGTAAAGATCATGTGTGAAGATGAATGACTTATCTATCTCTTGGCCGATTTGGTGAACTGACCAGATCGGAGGTCACAGGACTGACAATTTTTTATGCCATGACAGCCACATGGTGCGAATAGTAATTTATCATGATATGAATAGCAGTTCCCTAAATATAACATATATCTTAACTTAGAAAAAGAAGTTAATTTTCTTATAATCAGAATATATTTATCTTAGTTAATTTTATCATATTTTAATTCCTTTGACAAAATCTTCTTAGAAGCGAGTCGTATTATAAGTCTTGAGTTGGAGATTTTCAGTCAAGCAATAATTATCCTTTTACTTTCTTATTTGTATTCTTTATTATTTAAAAGACCTCTCATCTGTAACAAGTGATGTCATCTATAATAACATAATTAACCTCTCGTCACTACTCTGCGAAGTTGATTAATATTATTTAGATTTATAATAAAAGAAGAAGATAGTTTAATAAAAGTTAATCAATAAAAGAAGATTACTTAACAATTAAATCATTTGAATTAAAAGAAGATTTCTGAGCTCATTCTAGCTGCTCAACAAAACGAATACTTCGTTACCTACCTTTAGATAATTAAAAACATAAAATCTTTAATAAATTAGTCTCTCCCACCTTTTGAACTTAATAAAAATACGTAAAAATCTTTATAAACTCTCCCACCTGATTGAAACACGTGAAGAACACGTGATCTATATTGAAGAATTATAAAACCAACGAAAACGGTAACAATATTTTCTTTATATACTTTAAATCTTGTATATAAATATTCTTATATCATATTGAACTTATCAAATCACTAATAACTTTAAATTGTATTGTACCAAATAAATTATTGTTATTAGATTATTGAGCTTTATATTATATTGTGCTAAACAAATCATTATATTAGAATTATTAAATTGAATTATAAGTATTTTACTTTTTGTTATTTGAATTTTAATTATTAATAAGTATTCCTTCTTTGTAAAAAGAACAAAGTAAAAAAGTTTTTGTTATTGTTATTATTAATTATATTATCTTAGCTCTGAAAAGCTTTATGCAAGTATAGAGAATCACTCTTTTTAAATTTTCTTTATTATTCTTTTATACTTTCTTTTCCCTTTGATCTTTACTCTTCTATAATTCTTTCACATTATTATTCTTTTAGTAAACACAATTTCTGTAGAAATTGACATAATTCTTAGATATCTCTTCTTTTTCTTTTGATATTTCTATCAGTCTATTACTCTTTTTCAATCCAAATTCAAGTTTGTAAGCTAATTTAATAATTAGTAAACAAATTTATAACAATAATATTAATAAAAAATTGTTTTTGTATGATCACTATTATCATTATTATTTTTAAGAATTTAAAACTTTTGTCTAAAAAAAGCAATAATTATTAATAATATTTTTAAGAGTTTAAGATTTTTATCTATAAAAAGTAATAGTTAAGAAAATTCTCCTTAAATACTCATCTAAAATATATAATTTTTCTTTCTTCCAATTAATATAACTAATAATATTTATAGATATTAGTATAAATTTTAGATATTGAAAGAAATTAATATTGTTATGAGTAAATTTAGTACTAAATTAATATTATATTAAAATAACTAAATTCAATTATAATATAATTTTATTAGTTAATGAATATATATTGTTTTATTATTATTACTAAAAGATATTATAGATCTTCTTAGTGTAAATATATTCTAAGTATATTTTTATCTTTAGTAATATAATTAAAAATAAATTAAATAAATTAATATAATTAAAGTAATTATATATAAAATATTAATTATAAAAAAATATAATTAGATTTTAAGTTTTATTAATTTTAATACAATAATTTTATAGAACAAATTATTTTTGCTAATTATATTTTGATCAATTAATACTTTTTTTCAAGACAAAAAATATTTTTTTATATATAAAATTTCTATATTTAATACATTAGTTTAATTATTAATAACTTATTATTATGATTTCTAAAACTCATAATAATAACTAATAATATATTATAATTATAACTAATATATTATATTTATTAATAATATATTATTTATAGTTTTATATATGTTAATATATATTTATATAATTTGTATATCAAAATCATATATTTTCATTAATTTAATAATATAAATTTATATAAATTATACAGATTATACAAATTATACAAATTATATAAATTATAATAATAAATTATAAATTATATATAAAAATTATATATACAAGTCACATATAAAAAAATTATATGTTCAAATTACATATTATATATAAAAGTCATATAATTTCAAAATTATCTAATAGAATTATAAATAATTAAATAATAATTAATTAATTTAATTAAACTAAATTATTAAAAATGTTAAATATAATAATAAGCTTATCCAATAAAAATGTTTAGGCTTTATATTAAAACTTGAATTATTATTATTTATAAATATTATTTTATAAAATTTTGCATTAATAAATTGGATTTAGATCTTTGTACTATATTTAATACAATTTAAAAAATATGTAAAAAATTCAAAAAATTATGAAACTAAATATTTTTTATATATAAAAATCTATTAAATACTTTAATATTATTAAACTTAATTTTATTTGGTATTAATTAATAAAATAATTAAAAACAATTTTTTTAGAAAATATGATTTCTTGAAATTTTTATTATACTACATGTAGTATAATGTGAGGAGTATTTGAATTATAAAATTATTAATAAATGTCAAGCACAAAACCAATTACCAAAAAATTTCAAGAATTTTATTTTTTGAAAAAAATCTATAAAATTATAAAAAAATATTTGATTATATACAAAACTTTTAATACATAATTATATATATTTAAAAGTATAATTAATATATTGAATTAGTAAATAATTGTGTTATAATATAGTACAATGTACTATTAGTAATACAGGTAAATCCAATCCATTAAAAAAAGAAATTGGAATAATAAATTCATATAAAATAATACTAATTAATATAGTTTAATTTGTATTTTTATAAAATTATTAATTGGAGATTCTATTATAAATCAAATAGTAATTTTTTGTTATTGATATACCAGTAAATTCTATAATGTTATAAAAATCAAAACCAAAGGAAAAAAATAATGAGTATTTTTTATATATTATTAACAAAGCAATCTAACTATTTCATTAGTTATTTAAAGATATTGTAATTCTAATTATAACAAGTATTAAGACTACGTAGAGTGCACATAAATAACAATTGTGAGAGAAAAACTTGTTTAAACAAGTAACTAACTTATTAGAATCATATATACAAACAACAATTTACATATACTCTGATTTTAAACTGTTTAGATAATATATAATTTCTTTTTTCTGATTATATTTTTAATGAAAAGCCAAATTGTTTAAAAATAAAAAAACTTTTGGACATATTTATATATTATTGCATCGTTGTAATTATATTTTTGTATACTGTACTATATTAGCGTAACCTTAATATTGTTTCAACCAATTATCCCAATAATTTCTTTGAAACCGCATTACCGATCACGTGAACACGTGATCGGCTTTGATTTTACATGTACGTATTACGTACATAACAAATTTGGGAATATCGATATGGATAACAAATTTGGGGTATGAATAACAGTCGCCTATATTTATTTACTCTTTAAGCTTAACAGCTTATACAAAAAGCAAATAATGTATTATATATTGTAATAAAAGTGTATGTGTTGTATGCAAAAAACCGTTATTATTGTACTTGATAAAGTCAATCTATACATATATTGTAATTTTTTCTCCTAATCCTTCACAAACAGCACCATCATCACTAATATCAACATCTCCGCAAAGAACAGTTGCATCTGTCTTAATTTGAGTGCCAAGGGGAACGCCGGAAGGAATAGGTTCTGCGGCAACCATGGACGAACAGAGGATGATAATCAAAAATGCAAGAATCCGATTGGTGTGTTGGAAATTCATTTTTTTGGTGTGGTATTTTGAAGAATATGAAATTTAGTTTATTTTTTTCTAATAAATATAAGAAGCCCTATTTATAAAAAACGTAAATGAAGTAGTAATATCAATATCGATATCAATATCAATTGAAAGACATGTACGTACGGTACATGTAATGTATTTAGCCGTTTTGACAAATATGTCATTTAATATCATTCAATATCACTTCAATTTCGTTTACAATCTGCATGCATGTATGCTTGTACATGTATATACTGTTACAGATGCATAGCATTACTTTTTTCTATGATGCACGAAAGGAACAAGTGAATTCTTTATTAAAATATAATAATCTTAACTACTGTAAAGCGTTGATTGTTGTATCCACTTGTAGAAATTTATTCTTAATTTAATCTCAAAGCTATTATTATAGTAACATAAATTTTCAAAGAAATTATACTGTGAATCTTGAATTATTCATTTTGTAAAAACTAATCAGTTTACAAAAAATCAAGGTTTAAATTTTTAACAAAAGAGGGCATTATGGTCAGCCTTTAAGATATTCAATGCTAACGCTAACCAATAAAATTTCTATCTGAATTACCAACATATTGCTATAAAATCTAATACAGTGAAACCTCCATATATAACTCTCCCTAAGTACATGTACACATTCCGACTCAGTTCTAAGCTTATAAGATCTTTATGAATTTGCTCTTTATAAATGCACACCCTTTCTGCGTATCGGTATTACCTATAAAAAAAAACGTGCATGCATAAGTTATGTGTACCAAAAAACGCAGTTATGTACATGTATACCGATACGGAATTTGGCACCAACAAGCAAGCACATTTTGGACCAATCAAATTTGAAAAGACGAGCTATTTATCGTTGTTGTGTACGTATGCAAGACAGAACGTATAACAATAAAAGAAGCCTTTTATGAATTCTATTTGTGTAAATAAAGGCTCTTCTTTCAAATGAATGTTGTAGGCGTAATAATACATGTCATGTGTTAAGTTTTACGATACGTAGCGATAATACACATCGATATTGAATTTTGCTTTAAGTAAAATAAATTTTTATCAAAATTTTTTATCTGTATAAAGTAAAACTGCTTTTGGTTGTTGTGCTTTAACTCGAGACACAGTTAATAAAAGATATAATTATTATTGTTGTCAACTTAATTTAATAAAACCTAAAGTATATATATATGTATTGTTTACTTTGTTGGAAACGTTTCATCATGAGTCTGTAGTTTTTCTTGCAAGTCGACCGATATATTTTCGTCCCTTTGATTTCATGTGGAATACTAAAATCGAGATCTGTTTTGCACACAAAGAAAAATAATACATGTAAATGTTACTTTACCTTCGTTTGGAACAAACAAACTGACACTTGACATTCCTATACATTTGATATGAATTTTAATTACTAAATGCTAATATACTTCATATTTCAAAATAAAAGTACCTGTCTCAGTTGGAATTGAAATTAATTTTATGGTAAATATTCGACTGGTGTAAACTGCATTGGAGTGGATTTGTTGCTTTTTGTTCGTACTCGTAGGAAGTTCATCTAATTTCTGCATTTCTAGTTTAAAACACGTTTTAATTTCATGTGTCTTAGGATATTCTAAAAAGCTGTAGTACTGGAAAGCAAAGCATTCAACGCATTACACTTTGTCGTATCTCCATATTTGATAGAGTAGATAGAGTCTTCGAGTTTTTTAGCAGTTGATCTGTTTTCTGGAATAGGATTCCAGCATTTTTCAATAATACATGTAATTAACATTATTTGGTATCATAGGTCGTACTCCTTTATAAATGTCGCATACGATATCTATATCATGACTTCGTTCACCAAATGGTTGATAACCTTTGTACGTTATCATAAAATATCTGCAGCTTTAGTGTATGTTTTTCCATTTAGTACCTCTGGACTCATATAAGGAAATACGCTGCCAATTTTTTGATTAGAATTTACTATATCTGCTGATTTGGTAAGTCCAAAAACAACAATTGAAGGCATACTTGACATTAATATATTTCCAGGGTGAAAGTCACGATGCACAAATTTCTCGTCATGAATGTTATCCAACCCTGTAATGATATCCCTTAAATTTCTTAATTTTTCTTCCCAATTCAAGTACATGTACATGTATTTAGAATTCATATCGTATTTGCGTAGCCATCTTCTACATAATCCATCACTATCGAGTGTTCATTTGTATGTGCTTTTAGTTATTCCATAATATTTTATAATAATACTGCAGCCCCAGTCTAACTTTGAAAAAGTTAATTATATTGAAAAACAAAAATGCATTATGCTTACACTTTAAAAAGTGTTCATTTTACCTCGTTTATAAACTCGGCTGTAATTTTCTTTGAATTGAGTTCTCCCCTTCGTTTAAATTTATTCCCTTCATGATGGTAAGTCTTCGAAAGATTCACGACGTAAACCATCCGACATAAATTCGTTTGTGATATAGAATACATCCATGACAGTACTCATTTTCTTGACAATCGGTATATTTATTACAATCATGAGTATTGTGAACTGAGCACGCTTTGCAGTAACCCCATTTTTGACAATCCAACATTCACTACAATCATGAGTACTCGGAGTTTTAGATGCCATCTTTGAGTTTATTAGTGATTATGGCAGTGTTTTACACGCATTTAAAAAATGATGATTTATATCGATGTGTGGAAGTCGTCGTTTGTGTTTGTATTTAGAATCGATCTAGGTTGATTTCAAGTTGATTCTAAATTAAACTAAATATAAGTTGATTGGAAATCAACACACATTTTTGTTCCAACTTATAAATAACGATAAATACTGATAACAATCACCTTTGCTTACAACATGCATTTGATGTGTTAGGAGAAAAGCTTTTATCATTTACACACCACATAAATAGATTTCTTTGTCTTAAAAAAAGCTTCTTTTATACGTTCTGTCTCATTTTGATGCATAACGTTAAACATGACTTTTTTAACACAAAAATGGAAATAATAACGATAAACGATAAATGACTCTTTGAATCCTGTACGTTGTTACCCAATAAGATTGGTTTATGGCGATCAACAAAAAAGCCCTTAACGGTTACACAAAAAAATTGGCTGTTGCTAAAGTTATAAAAGCCTTCTTTTTATGCGTTCTGTCTCATTTTCATGCATGTTACTCTTCAGTATTTGCATAAATCGATCAACACGTCTAAATCGATCTGGAATAATGTCAACGAATATCGATACAGGCATAACATAGAAGATAGTTGAATCTTTGTTATAGCGATAGCGTAAACGATGGAAATTTCACAAATGTACGCGATAAACAATACAGTACAGTCAAGCCTTAATGCAACCAGGGACCTTGGTACCAAGCAAAAGCTCGTTAAACGAGAATGGCTTATAACGAGAATATTACAGATTTTCAAGAAAACCTCGTTATAACGCGACCCCCGTTACATCAAACTAACAATATTGCGGGTTTTGTTATATACACTAAATATACATAAAAAAGTATATTTAATAAACAAATAGATTTTGACAAAAAATGATACATGTACATGTGAATATAATGATAATGATATACACAAGGAAAGTTGAAACCGCTTTTGGTCGTCGTGCTTTAATTTAAAATATCGATTCAATAATTATATTCAGGAGCATGATCTATAATTTTTTTGATGCTAACAAATTAATATATAAAATGCCAATTTTATCTAATAAAGAGCATGATATTTTAAAGTGTTTCATCGATAATTCATATGGTATACATGCATTATCATCGGAATCTGCTTTGCTCACCAAAAAAAAAATTAGTAATGAATTAATGAAATTAACGAAATTAATGAAAAATAATATTAATACTTGTAGATTGCATTTGAGTGGATTGGTTGTTTTTGTTCGTATTTGTAGAATTGCTTTTCTGCAATTCCATACTTTCATCAAGTTCTGCTTTCTGGAATAGAATCCCAACACTTTTCAATGATGAATTTGCATCATTCGGGAATATTGTAAGTTGTACTCCTTTATACGTATATGTCGTACACAAGATAATGATCATGGCTCCGTTCACCAAATGATTTTTCATTTGCTACAATTTCATATGTAATCATCCCAAAATGATAAATATCTGCAGCTTGAGTGTATGGTTTTTCATTTAGCACCTCTGGACTAATATAAGGAAGTACTCCGCAATTTTTTGTAATTGATTTATTTAAATAAGCTGGACCGGTAAGTCCAAACTCAGAAAAATGAGCAAAACCGTCGATTAATCTATTTCGGAATGAAAGTCACGATGCACAAGTTTCTTTTGTAAATTTCATTCGAGATGATCGAATTTAAATGTCTTAATTTGTTATCTGGAATTAATATACGTATTTATTCCATTACCATTGAGTATTCATTTTTGAGTTATTCCGTAATAATTTATCCCAGAAAGACTGCAGTCTGAATCTATTTGAAAAACTTGTTTGTATTAGGAAACCAAAAAGCATCATGTTTCACTTTAGTACCTCGTTTATAAACTCTAATGTGCTTTTAATTATGTAATAATTTAAACACAATTGCTTTGTCTGTATAAATTTATTTTCTTCATAATCCCACCTTTGATTTGGTCCGTCTAACCAAGTTGCTTTAAAAATTGTTGCAAAACCCCCACCCCCTTTTGCAGAATATTTAACATTGGAAATGTTTCAAAAGGGTTCCATTCGAAATGATATTTAATTTTCGCGCATTCTTTTATTAGGTAGTCGATATTTTCATTTTCGCTAGACCATTTAGCTTTATAGATTCGTTTGTGATAATATAAACATCCAAAGCAATACGCATTTTTTTGACCAAAGTAGCATTCATTACAATAACGAGTATTGTAAGCTAAACACACATTGCAGTACTTTTTATGTAGATAAAAGCAGCATTTACTACAATCATGGGTATTCAAAGCGTTAGGTTCCATCTTTGGGTAGTGGTTTATTTAAATCTTTGAAATGAAAAATATGTGGAAGTCGGTTGCTCCTTCCGTTTGTGGCTGTGAAAATGATACAGGAAGATCTTATATTTTATTCAATCTATCTCTGCGAAACAAAATAATCTTATCGCTACATCGTCATAGAACTTCAATTCATGCTAACGTTCATAAGTATTTCACATGAAAAATGACATATTACATGGATTTGCTGTATTAAACAAGAGCCTTTTATTATTTACACACAAAATAGAAGTCATAAAAGGCTTCTTTTTTCATGCATACGTAAATCAATTTACAAAATCTAACATAAAATATAAATATTTTCCGGGTCGCTATTTATTAACACCGGCGGTTATCTTGCATTCGTCAAAGAAAAATTATATGTTCGCAGCCGTTAATTTACATGTTTTGAGAAGCTAGTATCGTGCAAATAGCCAACCTTGCGGGTATTGAAATATGTATGCAAATGACAAATCAATAACTAAAGTATTTCCAAATATATTTGGGATGATATCAAATAACCAATAGACAGTTACTTCTTCGTTCTCAGCTACCTTGTTCTTCGTTAATCCATAACCGGATATGTTGACCAGAGACGAAAATAGAACACTACTAAATGTTAGTTTGCATTAGCCCCGGCCCGGATATCCGGTCCTTTTGAAATCAGACTAAATTTTATTAAGCAAAATTTCATTCAGTTTTACACAAATATAATGTTAAAAAATAACTGTAGTTGGCTATTAAAATTAAAGTGATTCACATCTTTTCGTCGACATTGTGCCGAGCATCAGACTCCAAATAAAATTCGAAAATTACCTGGTATATTGATAGTGAAATTACTTTATTTGACTTTTGCAACTAACATTCTGAATTCGTCAAATCAATACAAATAAATTGCGAAAATAAGTTTGAATCCCGCATAATGTAGTAAAGCCTTATTAATTATAACAATCAATCAATCAGTCACTCATCTAAATAAGTCATGATCTTAAAGCCATAATAACGATTTCTCAATAAATATTCAAGCTTCTTTTCATTGAATAAGCCCAATTGATTAATAACAATAAATGGCCGACTACAAACATTCCCTTACTGTACTTTTTACGCTCCTCTTTTTCATTACCTGTTTTACTACATCTGAACCGTCCTCCCATGAGCTTTCAGCAAAAATTCCTAAAATCGCAAATATTTTTCACAAAATATTTGAATCTATTCATGGAAACAAATTATCGGAGAATGCACAGGAACAAAATTACCGATTGAGTTTTGATATTTCTGTTTTTCCATCGTGCCGTAAATATAACATCAGCGTTGAAAGACTGGAGGCACGCGATTGGGGTCAAACTTTTAAATTGACGATCGAACCGTTTGCAAAAGAGGAGGAGGTTCGGGAATATGGTATCTAATTATAATTTGTGTATCGTTATTGTATTTTTTTGAAAATCATCCTTCTTTACTTTAATGCAATCAATCATTAGTAATGGTCGCGCCATTCTTGGGAGTACTCGATGACGACGATGAAGACGACGACGACGATAATATTTTCGGTCACAAACTCGATCGAATTCATTATAACTATCATCAACACAAAACTGAACCGTTGGAACTCGTTACGCAGAGTTTCGCCAAAATTTTCGAGAATATGTTTAGCAGTTCTAAGGGCGACAACGACGACGGTGACAATCAACATCATAATCTCCTACGTCGACGAATGGAATGCGAGTTCCAAGTACTGCCCACAGAAGATAAGTATAAACTTGTCGTGAAAAGAATAAAGAACATCAAACACAAATATGGTCAAGTATTTCGATTTAAACTCGTGTCGCTGGATGTGTACGCCAAGACTATTATGTACTTTGTTATTCCAGAAGATAGATAGAAACATACTGTAGAAACCTGATCTTTATATATTACATGTATATAGTGCAAGACACTTATAATCAACAAATAAATTATACACTATAACTACAAAACAATTTTTTTCTATAAAAATGTAAAGAAAGCTATAGAAACTATTTATCAATTGGTCAAGTTTTGAAAATGTTAACTCCTTTTAAAGTCAACCATTTTTACTAGTAAAAGCAGAAATTTGGCCAGTCTCATATACGTAATCAGGTGATCTAATATATATATATCTGATTGGTCAAAACATAAACTATAAATCACAGATTTACGATAATCTGTGATGAGACAACAAAAGGAAAACTGTATCTGCAGCCCCAAGCATATCTTGTGATATATTGTGTTCATACCTATAGTGCGTCATCAAGGATGACGTGATTGTCAAAGAGAAAGTTACTAAAATTAATAATAGTGATATTACATGATAATATTTTTGGCAAAAGTTAACGTTTTTGATGTCTGAGTTTTATACATATATAAGTGCATTAAAAATGTAACTTGTTCTAACTGATCTTAGTCACCTCTGAAATTTGGCCACATATATTAAGACTTGCTGATTATAAGTGTCTTGCACTGTAGCGATTAATAAATTGAAACAGTTGATTAAGGTGGCATATCGAGTGAGTCGTGAAGTCGTTTTGGTATTATTGATAGAACATTTCGATAGACTTGACAACACTGGATCTTGCACGAACATTGATAGGATTTGTAGCAGTGATATCTAATTCGTTATCGTACTCGGTCATTTCAACATCATCATCGTCCGATGCAGAGTCGGTCATTTCAACATAACTGTCGTATTCGGGTGCAGAATCAGCCGTTTCGTTCTCTGAACTTTTCACTTCCCATATTGAAAGAGAACTTCCATTCTAATGGATGTGAATATTTCTCGTTTCTTTGCTTGCATAGCTAAAATAAAAAACCTAAGACAATTTAAGAACTATTACATAACTAAATTCGCTCTTACGTCCTCATAAATGGTTTGATTTTTACTAAGAAAGCGAGTTTTTTGGTGGTTGTTCACAAATATCTTTCTGAACATTGTTATTGAGGAAGCTGGGATTGCCCAGACGGAGTTTTTCCTCAAGCGGGGATTTTTTAGTGGATGGTTTACGAGTGTTTTTTTGAACATTCTTATCGAATTGACCAGACGGATTTTTTCAGTGAGTGGTTCACGGAGACCTTCCTCAAACGGGGTTTTTTAGTGGATGGTTCACGAATATCTTTCGGAGTATTATTATTATCGAGGAAACTAGGATTGTCCAAACGGCGTTTTTCAGTGAGTAGTTCACGAAGACCTTCTTCAAACGAGGTTTTTAGTCGGTGGTTAACGAAAATCCTCCTTATTCTTATTTTAAAATAATGCTGTGATAGATATTTGTGAACCATCCGCTAAAGCCCCCGTTTGAGCGATCCTATTAAAAATGTGTACAGAATTAAAATGCTTTCACTTTTAGTTTCATTAATTGTTTGAAGACACCGACCATTCAAATCGCGGCAAGCCTCGAAATTTCTCCTCAACACACTTTCAACACCTTTTTTACCGCCTAATATCCAAGTCTTAAACTAACAATAAGAAATTTATCTTCTCTTTGAAAGAGTGGCGCCTCATCGTATAACGTTTTCCCACAACTATGCGTGAAGCAATAACACTTTTTTTAAGTCTCGGACGGTAACTAGTATACACAACGTAGAAAGGTCGCCGAATAGGTTTACTATAACTTGACGGTTGGTGATTGCTTCCATGCTTTTGTAATTAAATGGTTTTTTTTTGTGTTAAGAGAAAATTAGTTACTTTGATTGTGCTAAGGAAAATTTTTTGGGTATTATTATTTTGAATTGTTCTATTAAGAGTTAAAATTTTTTGGGATGTGTTAAATATCGTTATTTTTAAATTATATTATCACAGATAGGGAAATTGATAAATTAAGTCACGTTCATTTTTTTTCCCGCTGCGATTACTGAAAGACTAACGAGACAAAAAAATTTGAAAAATCCGCACTACCAACATAATAATATCGATAATATAGCATAGTTGTCAAGAATTAATTACATTATCACAGATATTATAAACATTCGCTTAAAGGACAATCTTTGATATTTTAATTATTTGCTTTACTACAAAAATACTACTACATGTACCAACAAACTGTAAAGCAGAACGTTCATTTTTAGTTTATTGGAACAGGGAAAAACTATTGTATATTTTTTTATAAAGAATATCTGATTATTCATTAAATGCGCATTTGATGAGTTAACGACTATGTGAGTTCTTTGCCAAGCAAGAAACAACTGCCTTTACGCCTCATTAAAAAAAGATTGGTTGCATCCTTGGAAGTCATGTGTTACTAACAGGAATGATTTACATCATGATAACACAAATGTATACATGTAATATATGTTTAAACATCTACTTTTTTCAATACATGTAATTATTAATAGTCAATGTTTATATTAAACCATGTATATAGAGTTTTGTCCGAACATATTTATCATAGGAAATCGAATGTCTTCAAACAAAATACCTATATTTGATTTTGTCCGGTAACTTGTTCGACATGTCCAGTGACAACAAATTATAGGACATATAGGACATCTCTTCATACTGTGTATGGATGAAACATTGTTTAAATTCTATAACGATAAGAATAGTAAACTCTTTTTATCATTTATTCTCTTATTATTTTATATCTCTTTCTCTTTCCTTTAATCTTTATTTTCTTATAACTTTTTTATATTATTATTCCATAAAAATTAATATAGAATTTAGATATCTCTCTTTTTTTGATATTTATTTATTGTCTAATCTCTTTTTCCAATCTAGTTTCAAGTTTGTAAGCTAATTTAACAATTAGTAAACAAACTTATAATATTATATTATTAATATGACTAATTGTTCACTTTATGGTCGTAGTAATCAACTGTTAATGCATTTTTTTGAGGCTCTCAGTATAATAAATAAATAATCATTGGGTTTTTGTCGATTGTCTCGATCTACTTTACGTAGTTTTTTTCCATACTATTCTTAAACATTCTATCAGATCATCTGTGAATGATAATTACGTTATTGTATAAATTTTATTACAATGATGCAAATGATATAATGACAAGAGATAATATTATTAATACAAGAAATTGATTTATAATATTTCATTAAAACATAAGGAACCCTGCGATGTGGGGTGTGTGTGTGCATCAGAAAGTTTACGAATATTGTACCGCACGGTATATTCATTAAATCGTCAGGTTTAGCAAGCAAATTTGCCTGCTAAAATTCTATAAATTTATATCTAATATATTTTTTTTACCAAAATTAAAATATATTAAAAAATTTCTTTAATCTTAGCTTTAATTATATATTATATAGTAGTTATTTTCACTTGTTTAATATCATAAAAAATTATAGTTGTTTATAAGTTAAAAATAAGCAATTTTAAAAATTTTTATTATCAATCTTGAATTTTAAACATATTTTATAATAAAATTACAAAATTAATAAAATTAATTAAAAAATAAATCAAATATTTTGAGTAATTGTAAATCAAATTATAAATTTATATTATATTGATTAAAAATATGCTATATTTTTATTTTAGCTTAGAAAAAGAGAGGTTAAGCTTTTAAAAATTAGAAGTAGATATACAAAAATAAGCTAAAAAAATTTTAGCAGGCAAATTTGTTTGCTAGATGATTTAAGAGACAATTATTTTTGTATTATAAGCTAATTCTAATTTAATATAATTGCATTACCATATACTAATATATGTATATGTACATATATAGTAGTGATATAATTATAAATAATGCAACAAAAATTATAATTTATTAGATCAAAATATTTTGTGCAACTTAGAAAATATTCTTTTTTTAATGGTTTTTATTCGTTAATAGTATCATTTTTAGATATCAAAATTAAATATAAGTTCATAAGTCAAATACTTTGCAAATAATATCTTTATTCGATTTGGCTTATTGCATTACTTATATTCTTTTTAACATAATATGAATATAATATATTAAATTACATTTTTTATATTAGATTTTTTTTGTTTTTGTTAATATTAGATAGAATTATACTTTTATCATTTTGTATAACCATTTTGTATCTTAATAATATCATAAACTCTTTTTTGATATAGAGTAAATTAGATTAATACAAGTTTCAACATTAATTTTTAGCCAAACCTGCTGGATTTATTTTACAGGTTATCCTTGTTCAAAATTTGTTTAGAGAAATATTGAAGTTAATAATTAATCTTATTCTACAAGTATTCAATGAAGTTTAAATTCAAAATTTAAAAATTAATATAGTATCTTTGTTCTATTATTTCTAAACTGTTACTTTGTTAATTTGATCATAGATTCAAAATTATTATTCTATTAAAAAATGATTTATTTAATAATAAACTTATGTTTCTTAATTGTATATATAAAATCTTAACAAAGTATCTGTTGATATAATTTGATATCCATTATCTTATCAATCTTACAAAAGTTACTGACACTACAAAATTCAAAGAAATCTTATCATCATTAATAATCTTTCTAAACTTTATAATAAAGATAATATAAAAGTAATTTAACAGTTTATTAAATATTTTCAGTAATACTACTTGACATTGTCATGAGTTCTAGACTCAGATAGATAATTTTATAACATAGATATTTAATCAATATTTATTTTAATAAGTTAATAATTCAATTCAGTTGCTTTAGGATTGTGATTCTGTACAGCTTTTTTTATTTAATTAGTTTAGAATAGGTAATACTACTACTATTAATAAATATCTTCTTTGTATTTACTTAGTGTAGTAACAAAGATAATTTTATAATATATATATTTATTCAATATCTATTTTAATAAGTTAATAATTCAATTCAGTTGCTTTAGGATTGTGATTCTGTATAGCTTTTTTTATTTAATTAGTTTAGAATAGGTAATACTACTACTACTAATAAATATCTTCTTTGTATTTACTTAGTGTAGTAACAATTATATAGCAATATAGTACTGATATTTTATAGCAACCTGGTTGAGTATCTAGTAGTATATAAAGTAAATGTTATAACAAGATTAATAATTATAAATTAATTAATATACAATTTTATTAAATAATAAACAAAAAGTAATTTATTAACTAGCTAGATTTTGTATTGATAATTGATATCTTTTGATTTATCCAAAAGATTTTTTATTTATTTATATAAAATAATTTATGACTAAGTTATTACAATGTGAGATATATTATACATATTAGATAAATATAATATAGCAGATAATGTTGATATGTCTAAGAACTCTATTATCTTTGCAATTTCTGCTATCTCTACAATTTATATTTAGTCACATGATTAGAATTAAGAAATTAAGAAATTAGAGATAATTCTGAACTGTAACAATATCAGGCTCAAAAAACTTAAAAGTTGACTCACCTAATTATGTTAGCTTTGGTCAGTTTTTGATGATCTAATTTTCATACTTTCATGCAAATTCCAACAGATGTTTTCAATATTCTTCACTTAGGTAAAGTTTTTTTAGATTTTTGCTATTATTCTATTGTTCTGAAGTACTTAATGAATAATAAATGTTGAAATATTAATATTATCATCATATTATAAATGTTTTGAGCTTCTGATGATGGGTAAATACCTACAGGAGGTAATAAGATTGCTGATTTTTTTATTAGTTCACTTATAGTGTGTGATCAATCCAGTTTTGCTGCATTTTCAAGGGAGTGTCTTTCATGTCATCTTTTATTAATATGGAAAACTGTTGAGGGATCAATATTTTTTGACTTTGCTATTTGTCTTGTAATATTCCATTTTGGAGAGAAAGAAAAATTTGAGCCCTTTCTTCTAGAGTCATATGGACATTTTTGTCTTAGCTTTTTGATTAAAAAGCTATAACATGTAAATAATATGCAATAAATTTTCCTTTTATATGATATTTACATAACATGACAATGACCATCCGATTTTTGCATAAAATGATCATATGTAATGCAACACATATTTTGTACTACTCACGTATTTATCCTGGGATTGGACATAACAATGATTACTAAGATTTTAATATATAAAAATGACACTATTAATGAATAAATCTATCAAAAAAAAAGAGGATATCTCCAAAGTTACGTGAAATATTTCGATTTGACTGATTTTATTTTTTTGTTGCATTATTTATGATCGCTACTGTACGTATGTAGTACATGTAGTAGATCCTATCGTTATGCTCAACTTGTATAACTTGCATGCAAAGCAGTAATTTTTTCGCCAGATAATATTGATTGGAGGATGAATTGAAGTCTCTGTCTCTAAAGGTTAATATCGGTGTAAATGGAATATCATTGAAACGTTCCTTTAAGTAATCAAAAATCTTATTATCAATATTCTCAGATTTACTAAGTAGTACATTCTCACAAATCTCTGATTCTACTATGTACCCAGCCAATATGAACCAATTTTCCACCGGCATAATCATATCCCATTCTAAGCAAATGCCGATGCTCCTCTCTTACAACATCCATCACTTTTTCTAGTATCCAATCATTCCTCGAAAACATTGTTGTTCATAATCTGTTATGGGCATTCGAATTTGTTCAGGCAAAAAGCCTATATATTCAGAAAGCTTTTCACGAAGTTCGTCTGCCATTCTTCTGAGTGTATCTAATGCCGAAAAATAATTCATTTTCGTTAAACCAAATCAAGTTACATAATATATTGAGCCTGAGTGATCATTACCCGATAATAATTTTCTCGGCATGCTTCATTAAAACTCTTCCTGGACAAGATAACCATTTAATAACTGCATCCTGGATTTTTATGGCTGAATTTTTGTGTTTCAACCATAAACTAAATGCCTTTTTTATTATTCAGAACGCGTGTTCTCTGCATTGCGCAATTTTTCTGATGGCTATATCACTTATTCCAGCACAGTCACTAAGATTTAAACTTCTCAGATCTAGGCACGAATCTGCATGGGAATAGACTGTGATATCAGTGAGCTTCTTGCAATAATTAATATTTAAAGATTGGAGTTTGGGATGTAATCGTGTAATTTCGTGTATAGATTTATCGGTAATATGACTTCTGCCTCCACCAATACCTAGATGTTTTAACTCATGGCTTAATGTGCAATTTTACAGATTGATTTATCGGTAATATTTCCGCCCTAACTAATTTCCAAATACTGTAATTTACGGCATTTTTTTGCAATTTTACGGATAGAACAACCAGTTAACTCTCCATTATTAGAAACGTTATGATATGATTTTTGCAACTTTAATTATTGCTGTGTCATCAAAACCCACACTTCACTCCAAATCTAGATGAATTATTTGGACATGAATCTATACGTAATTGTTTCGATTTCCTTATTTGAGAGATTATAGCAGTGCGCAATTTTAAGATGTCTCACACTTGAACTATGGATCGGTCCTGGATTTTTATGTATCGTCCCATAAACCTTTTTAGCTGTGCTTCGTATTTCTTTCCAGAAGTGTTTCCATCTCCGATCAACTCAATATGATATCATAAGATTGGACCTGCGCATCCATACCAAAGCCTATTGACGAACAAAGCAGGATAGAGCCTTATCCTTGGCTAAGAAATTGAAAATCTTTTTCAGCAATTCGGGTAAAGCGAGCGGATGTGTCATGATAAGTATGTAGCAAGGCGATTAACTATTTATTTCGATATTTATTTCGTATAATTCTCAGAATTTTTTTTTACTTTGTAATAGTTATCACTATCCGGCGAGTTATGACCAACACTAAAACTCCTCCTTTCAATCCGTATTATTCAACAAAGCTCAGTAAGCTGTGCCCATCAGTAAAATGGAACATATGGAAAAGTCTTACAATCGGAAAATATCCAATGCCAGAAGAACAGGTAAGTGGTACCCATCCAGAAATCGAAAAAAATTGGATCAAGAAATTATGGTTTATCAAAGAAAGAAACAACGCAAAAGTCCTATTGAAAATTTATCACACTATATAACATGGGGAAGGACACCCAAACTCGAAATACTAACTCGATTTTGCACACTTGTAATCACGAAAAAGAGATAAATTGTCGGGCCATGAAATAGCTCGATGTTTTGCATCAACAATTGCTTAAGCATAATAGAGACACATTTAATAATTTCATGCAAGATATCTCTAGAGATTATGAAAGCGAGTCAATGCGAATAAGTAATTGCGTCATGAGATCGAAGAAAAAAAGGTACAACTACAAGAGATGGAAAAATATCTCGCATATCAATCGTCCTATACAGAAAGATCAAGAGCAGCATCCCAACCAAGACGTATATTCAAAGGATCGTCTGTTGTCTTAGTGAAATCGAAAACTATGAAGCTTCAATCCCGCAAATGTTTATGTATTATCTGTATATTGACGTACGGTTCAGTAAATATCATCTCTTGAGCCACTCCCTCGGAATAAGACTAGATGTGAGATATTTCATGAATAATTTTTGGGGTTTGTGTGTATTTCTGGGATACATATATTGGCGAGATATTTGATGTCGGCCACTAATGAAGTAAGGAATAATTCAATCTTGAATTTTCTTTGGTTCAGCACAAAGATCTTCAAAGACAACAACTGTATTTTGATCTGAAGAAAACTTAGTTATATCAGGGATCTTGTCTGATATTATTCTTTTAAATGTGACTTCCTCTTGATATGGTTTTAGGCCATTCACAAAATCTGATAACTATTCTGTACCAGTTGCCACTTGGGCTCAAGATGCTTTCTGATTAATACTAGATCATCGTTCTTTATATATCGTTATCCCTTCTTCTCCTTGAAGCTTGTTTCCGAGGAGGATGTTAAGAATCATGTTAGTCTTCCCACTATCTGATCTGCTACATATTAACAAACAAAAAGAAAATGAAGAACTGGCAGAATGATTCGTATTTTTCAAATTTTTAGCCTTGTTAAGATTGTATATATAATATTATATTTTTTTATTGTGCTTAGTATTTTAATCACAAGACAATATATTCTGATTTTTATTCTGACTTATCAATATCAATTGCATTAACAAAGCTAGCTCGACTAAGATCCTGAATTCACCAAGTACCTTTTCTAACAAGAATATTTTTAAAATAGGAAAACAGATCACAATCATATAGAATATAATATTCTTTTGAACACATATATCCTACTTTTTTGGTCATTTTATCTCTGTAAATCTATTAGAATGAAAATATTTTGGAACTAATTGGTAGTATTAAATATCTTGGAACTTCCATATCAATGATTGTATCCATTAAATCAAAATCCGTCTAAAAAATTTGCAAAACATGGCAGAAATTTCTTATCTAGCAAACCTTCAAAAATATATTAAGTGAATCTTTCTCTTTTTATATGAGAACAAATGGAACATCACTCAAATTTTCACTTCAGGACCTTATAAGATACTTTCTATTGATACTATTCATTCTTATAAAATCAAAAATATATATAGAGATTATTATTCATTCAATTTTTCTAAGATATTGATTATTATATTTCTTGATATATTGTCATATTTTGTTGAATATATTATTAAAAATATAAATAAAATATATCAATTCAAAGAAATAATATTTTCACATAAATTTATTTGATAAATACTAAATATTTTAATAACTTAAAGTACTTTTCTCTTGAAAAATTTTGATTTATTAAATAAATAATGAATTTAATAAATTTATTTTCAAGATAATATAAAACTAGCTATGATAAATTTTTTTCAATAACTTTTTTAATCATATAAATATATAATAATTATTATGAATTAATTTTTCTATATATATACTCACTAATTTTTATAAATATTTTACTATAATTTTTTTATAAATATAATTTATTCTTGCTTATTAATTTTTTAGATTTAATAAATAATTTAGATATTATTTCTCACAATATATATCCTTATACTATATTAGAAATTAAAAAAAAATATAGTAAAATATAATAAACTTAACATTGTTTTTTATATTAAAATAATAGATTTTAATATAAAAAAACTGTCAATTTTATTATATTTTACTATTATTACTATTTTTAGAGTTATTACCTATGATAATATGACAAGTAATTGTGTTCAATTGAAAGATTAAATTACTGAACTATCAAAACTTATAATTTAAATATCAAATATTAAAATAATAGAATTGAATATAACTTTTAACAAGAAACTTAATGAAATAAATATAATAGTTATCAAAGCTTTTCTAAAGTACTGGTTAATGATAGCTATATAAAAATGCAAATACAAATCATATAAAATAAATAGAAATGCTGCCTCTCTTAGATTAGTAATACAAAAATCAAAATAAAATAATATAATATCTTTCTGACATTTCTCAAAAACTTAAAAATAATAATAATACAAACTAATAAATAATAAATAATACAAATAATAAATAAATAATACAAATTATAAATTATAAATAATAAAAATATGAATAATAGTTTCTTGTTAAGATAACATAATTAAAAAACCAAAGTAATATAAGTCACAACTAATTTTTATTTGATATTAAAGAATATATGAACTAATACTTAATTATTTTATAACTTGATAATAATTCTAAGCTAAGATACATGCTGCTTATATATCTATTTCTATTTCAAAAAGAATCAATTAGAATCTAATACATTCTCATGTATTATGAGTAATACACAATGTTATTTCAATTTGCCAAGTGTTATATATTTAAATTTAGCATTATTGCATGCTAAAATACTAAAATACTATTAGTACTCCTTTGCTATTATACAAATAAAACTAATTAAATACAAAATAAACTTAATATAGTACAAGATAATATCAATATAACACAAAAAAAATTAAATATATGAGAAGAACCAATTAAAATATAGAAATAGAACACATATTAAATCCTAATAAAATGATCTATATTATGACATAAATTTAATTTATAATAAAGAACCAATTAAAATATCTTAATAAAAACCAATTAGATTTCTAATAATTATTGTTCTTTATTAAATACTATCATCATGTGAGAGAAATATCATTATTATAGATAAATATAGAGCTTCTCATGGTAATGATACTGTTACAAGTTCCAGACTCAGATAGATAATCTCATGACATGGGTGTTCAACCAATATTTATTTTAGTAAGTTTATAATTCAATCCAGTTGCTTTAGGATCATAACACTGTGTGGCTTTTTCTATTCTATTAATTTAAAATAGTATTATAATTATATTATAAAATTTATTAATTCCATAATTTGTAATATTTCACAAAATTATGAAAATTATATAAACTTAGAATATTTCACAATTTTTTATATATTATTAATTATAAAATTTGTATATTTTTATTTTTTTATCTTGTACTTATATATTTTTATACTTTTTATACTTTTTTTTTATCTTGTACTTCTATATTTTTTATACTTTTTATACTTCATGCTCTTATACTGCTACAGTTACTTTAAATGAAGAGTTTCTTCACTATTAGTAAAAGAGTCATATGAGTTGGAAGAGAGGAATAAACTAATAAAATTGGTCAGTGCAAAAATAAATATCTAAGCCTGTGCCAATTTCGACAGAAATTGTTAAACAATTCTATTAAAGATGAAAAGAGGGGTTGTGAGAGTGTGTTCAAAGGGGTGATTAATAAAAAGGGGCTGCTAATTAAAGAAAAGAGTATTGATGTTTCTATACTTGTAGTCGTACATTCTAGTGCTTTCAATACCAAAGAAAATAAATAACTAAAAGAAATATCACTTATTTAGAGTTGCGGTGCACAACTATACAAATCAATATCACTTATTTAAAGTTGC